TTCACTGCCTCTTTAAACTAGGTAGGTTTTGTAACCAACGTGGCCTTCTTCATCGATTGGGGCTTTTGGGGCACCTAGTAGAGTGTTCTTAAACAATTCCTAATTATTCACTTTTTTCTGATTAAATTCTTCTTCCCACGTGATTTGGCTCATAATTATTTGTCAGCTTTGTGAAACTGGCCCTTTGAAAGCACCATGTATCTATCGATATCACCTGTCTGGACTTTATTCTGTTTGCACATCATAAATACGATCAAATCATGACGACCTGTACCTAAGATACCATTGTTTTTTAGTTCCGTGTTCAGTTCCTCTTCATCTATCATGACAAGGTGTAATATAGAATTCCCCTGTGTTGGATGCAACACTTTTTGGGTTAGGAAATTGTCATCTATAGTGTTTAGAAATTCCCAGAATGTTTTAATCCTGGCAGCATGAGACCCCTAGCATATGTCACTCAAATTGAAGTGCCCCATCCCGTTCCCTAGTACAATTTGGGAGTCTGTAGCAGACTCCAATTAATAGCCCATCTGGTGCTCCTGTTAGGACACTGCTCCATAAGCATTCAAAATCATTTTCTTCTAAGTTATCAGTGACTCAGAAACAGGTAATGCCATCTTTGACACAGAGTGTCGCGCCCTCTCCCCTTTTGCCCACTCTCTCTTTCCTAAAGAGGTTGTAACTGTTGATTTTAACATTCCAATAGTGCGCATCCTCCCACCAGGTGTCAGTAACACCACCTAGACCGGGGTGGCCAACCTGAGCCTGAGAAGGAGCCAGAATTTACCAACATACATTGCCAAAGAGCCCTGGTGATACATCAGCAGCTCCCCATCAGCTCCCACCCCCCACGCCTCCCGCCCACCGGCAGCGCCACTGAGCAGCACCTCCTCCTCCCTCCCCGCACCTCCCGATCAGCTGTTTTGTGGCATGCAGGAGGCTCTGGGAGGGAAGGGGGAGGAGCAAGGGCACGGCAGGCTCAGGGGTGGAGTGGGGGCAGGGCCTGTGGCAGAGACAGGGGGTTGAGCAGTGAGCACCCCCCGGCACATTCGAAAGTTAGATTCATAGACTTTAAGGTCAGACAGGACCATTATGATCATCTAGTCCGACCTCCTGCACATCACAGGCCTCAGAATCTCACCCACCCACTCCTGTAACAAACCCCTGACCTATGCCTGAGTTATTGAAGTCCTCAAATCGTGGTTTAAAGACCTCAAGGTGCAGAGAATCCTCCATTAAGTGACCCGTGCCCCACGCTGCAGAGGAAGGCGAAAACCCCCAGGGCCTCTGCCAATCTGCCCTGGAGGAAAATTCCTTCCCGCCCCCAGATATGGCCATCAGCTAAACCCTGAGCAAGTTGGCGCTTGTAGCTCCAGCCCCGGAGTCGGTGCCTGGACAAGGAGCCGCGTATTAACTTCTGAAGCCGCATGTGGCTCCGGAGCCACCGGTTGGCCACCCCTGAAGTTATTTATGTGCTGCAGAATGGTCTCTCCGACCCCTGAAGTGCAACTTGTGCCTCTAGGTTCTGTTCCCTCAGGTTACTCCCAGGGTTCAGCTGTGGCTGCTGCTGCCGGCACCGTCTGTGTCCTCCTAGTCGTTTTACTCCTTGTCTTCACTTACTTCTTTGTGAGAAAGAAGAGAGGTGAGTGCCGTGGTTCAACCAGCCTGTTCCAGTTACTCCAGGGATATTTGCTGCTCCAAGCACGACTGACTGACCCTGTTGTTTCTTTCCTCTGCCCATCTAGGTAGGAGCCCCGGCACAGCCAGGTCTGTATAAAATTGGTGTTACTCCAACAACTCTGTTAGTCAAGTAACTCAGTCTCACCCGTCCTCTCTCTGTCTGACCGAGCAGCCTCCTGGCTTAATCCCCTCACTGCATTTTGTTCTGTAAAAGATCCTGTATCCATAACACAGAGCTGGGCCCTGTTATTGGGACTTGAATTCTACCTGAAGCCAGACCCCGGTAGTTTGTCTCTATGCTGGGACGTTTCTCTGTGCCTAGGCGTTTCTCAGGCACCTGTTACCTTGGTATTTAAGAGCCCAGCAAAGCAATATAACAAACAAGCGCACAGAATGTCCTCCTCCAAAATCAGCCCCGAATACAAAGGCGATTCCAGGTTTGGTCAAGAACCCTGGCCAACCTTTCAGGGCCAGATTCTGTCTCTGGGATGCTTTTTGTCTACACAGTTTAATTCTGGGGGGCAAAATCCTCTTCTCTGTGTCTCATTAGGATTCTCTTTCCCCCAGGTCTCAGACTCCCTTTCCCAAGAACAGAAGGACTCCGAGCCAGGTATGGCATGATGCTGATACAAAGGGAGAGTTCACAGCTCAAGCTAGGGGTGTGGTAGGACATGTGACCTGCACTGGCTCAGATCACGCTTGGGTGCTAACACCAGAGTGTAGCTGCAGCAGCGGGAGCAGCGGGAGAGGCTAGCCGGGCCCCCTGGGTACACACGCGTCTGAGACCATAGGCATGTTCGGCCCCTCCCGCCACTCGCACCGCCGTGGCTTCACTCCTGCGTGAGTGTGTCTCCTCGACCTGGGAATCGCACCCCCAGCTTTAAGTGGAGACGTACCCAGGGGTGAAAGTAACTTAAAGGATTTACTGGTACGGGGCGGAGTCCTGAGCAGGGGGGCGGGACCTCAACCAGAAGGGGCGTGGCCTCAGCCAGAAGGGGCAGAGCCTCAACCGGAAGGGGCGGGGCCTTTAAATCCCCGGGCCCTTAAATCACCGGCCTGGGAAGCCAGTCCAGGTTGCCGTACCGTACCGGCTTACTTTCACCTCTGGACATACCCCCAACTGCACTGGGGCTCCTCACCGCGTCCTAGGACCAGGCCCGCAGGGTTTTGGGCTGACGCATAAGGGCCGCAGGCATTTGGTCCCATTTCTATAGGCCTGAGTCTGCACAAAACCCAGCACAGCTGCCCCAGCTGGGGCGCAGGGGAGCTCCCCGGCTGCTCCCCTTCTGGCCTCCCAAATGGGTTCACTGAGCGGCCCAAGAGGCCATCTGGGCTGTCACTTTCCAGCCTGCACCACCTCCCAGCAGCGCGCAGAGGCACTGGCCGGGTTCTTCTCTCACTGGTGTAAGGGGGGAGTAATTCCACTGAGGCCAATGCAGCGACACCAGCGTAACCGGGGAGAGAATCAGGCTCATCGCCCCGTCGTCGCTGTTTAAACACCGGGGGTCACAGAGTTCCAGGCCAGAAGGGGCCACCAGAGTGTCCAGCCCGACCTCCTGTATGGCACAGGGCCAGGCCACCAACGCCCAGCACACGCACACTGACCCAGCAGCCCCCAGGAGACAGGCAGAGAATAGAAGGGACCATGGTAATTCCCATGGAAAGAGAAGTCAGTAACATGGGGCCAGGCTCTGTGCTGGGCCTCTCACAACTGGGGGGGGGGCTGGTCTGCATGCCAGCAACACCCCCTTGCATCCTGTCACACCTCCCCCTCCACCCCTGGGCTGCCCCGAAAGTGGGGGCTGTGAGGGGAGACAGCATAGGGCCACATTACGGCAACCTTATGCGCTATTCCTAGGTGGGGGACATTCCCACCAGGGGCCTCTCTGGCCCTGTCTACACTGCAATCAGGAGGTGTCACTGCGGCACATGTAGACAAACCCGAGCTAGCTTGCTAACGATAGCAGTGCGGCCACAGTGGCACGGACGGCAGCGTGCCGCCCTGGGTACGAGCCCGCTGGGGACCCGGGGACCTGCTCAGGTGGCAAGCCCAGTCCACCTCCACTACACTGCAATCTTGACAAGCTGTTTAGATGAAAGCTAGCTCAGGAATCCTATATGTGCTGCAATCACACCTCCGACTGCAGTGTGGACGTACCCAAGGTCATCCCGGCTATTCCCGGCCGTTACCAGGAAAGGGGCTGCAGCGGGGAGCAGTACCTGGCCCAGGAAGGGGGCACATTGATTTTCCTGGCTTGCATTAGTAGCAGAGTTGAACCCCTTCCAGCCCCTGCTGTCGCTCAGGCACAGGGAGATTTTCCAGCCCGTGGCCACTTCCCCCGTGGCGCACTGCAGCTTGGGTGGAGTTCAGCCGCAAGGCTCAGGTTCCTGTTGGGGTTTCTCTAGAGCCTTCGCGTTCTTTTTTTAAACCTAGCGTCTGGGTGTGATTCACTGGCAGCCCAGCTAGCATTAACCCCTTGGGTGCCAGGCATGGACTGTACCCAGAGAAGTCGGGACTTTGCACGCCGCGTGGGGATGTTCTATTGAGCGGTACAGCATCCAGCGCAAACCAGGGCATGCACGCACCGCTCTGATGGCCCTATGTGCTGAGAGCAGAGAGGGGATGAAGAAAATAAACTGCTTGGAGAGCAGGGGGAGGAAACTGGCCGATTCGGGCTGACTGTAACCTTGCAATCTCTCCTCTTCTCCTCCTCCCTGCTCGTTGGGTGCAAAGCTACACCACAGCGGGCCAGAGAGTAATTCAGAGGGATAAGACGAGGGCAGTTTGTTCTTCTAAACGCAGGGATACCATACCGTGCCTGTGCTCGTGCATAACTCAGCGCGTACACAGCTCGCTACTGCACCCAGGAACCAATGCATGAACCCTTTCATTTTAGCCCGGTGATAGCAAAGACCCAGACGTGCTCTACGCTGACCTGCAGCACACGGCCGGGCTCCAGCAGCCCAAGAAGAGCGCCCCAGAAGAACATTCTGAATATGCTGCCGTTAAGGTAACCCAGGCCATCGCCAGGTAGAGGGAGAAGGCAGCGAGGCTCTGGACTCCCTCGGAGAAAAACTGTCGGAGGAGGAAGCAGCAACTTTCTGCAGAACACAGCGCACAGTCATCCAGGTCACACGCGGTCCCCGTGGCGGGCCCGGAACTGACACAGTCTCTTGTTCTCTGGCACCTTATTGCGCTATCGCTGGCGTTTGCCAGCGCGGATGTGACTCAGAACCGGGGGAACTCATGACCTGGAAAGTCAGCAGCTGCCTGGCATGTTCCTGTTTTCAGAAACAATTAAAGATTTCAATTATATTCTCTCTAAGCAGAGCCAACGACTATTTGCCTGTGAAATCTGAGCCGCGGCCTTTGAACGGATGGTATCAGAGGCCATCACATGAACGGCCTCTGTGATTTCTGAGGTTGTTCTTAGGATAAAGTCTTCTAACGGTGGGACACACACATAGGGCTGTCTTTTCCTTTTCCCTGGGGGTGCTCCGCCCCCAAGGCCTCGCCCCCACTCTGCCCCTTCCCGCCGAACGACTGTGGGGCCTCCTGGCTGCAGTCCAAAATGACAAACCAAACAATCCTGCAGCCCACAAAACAGCCCGGGCTCGCCCCGCGCAAGGCAAATCGCCCTCAGGACAGGAGGCTGGGTTTCTAACCCCCCGGGCCTCGGGGGGCCCAGACTCCGCACCCTGGGCTCTAGGGGAAGCAAAGCAAACTACAGATGGCCCCTCTACCTCTGCAGAGGATCTTCGCCAGCTTTCCTGACCCACAGCTCCTTCTTGGAGGGGCTTGGGAGCTCCAACCCTGCTTCCCTCCTAGTGCCAGCCTGCACCAGGCTTGGATCCCCCCTTTCGAGGGGCTGCCCCTCTCCAGGTTTGACAAGCCGCACCGGTGGCTGGTTTGGGGCTGATGGTGCCCAGAGGAGCTCTTTAACCCCATCCTGACCGGGGGAGGGGGCCAGGGGAACCCATCCTACCACAGGGCAACTTGGTCACCATCTGTACGTACCTACAAGGGGAACTCCTCGATAATCGAGGGCACTTCAGTCTAGCAGAGAAAAGTCCAACACAATCCAACAGCTGGAAGCGGAAGCTAGATCAATTCAGACTAATGCATTTTAACAGGGAGGATAATTAACCACCGGGGCAATTTACCAAGGGCCGTGATGGATTCTCCATCATTGGCAATTTTTAAATCAAGACCGGATTTTTTTTCTCTAGCAGATCTGCTCTGGTTCAACCAGGAATTAATGCAGGGAAGTCCTATGGCCTGTGTTACACGGGTCAGACTAGATGATCACAGTCAAACCTTCTAGCCTTATAACCTAGGAATCTTAGGCCTGGTCTACACCTAAAAATTCGATTGACCCAGCCACACTGCTCAGGGCCATTAAAAATGTCGCTCCTTGTTTGATGTCATTACTCATTAGGTCACCCTAAGCCCCACTGTAGATGCAGCTGGGTCTTCTGTCAGCCTAGCTCCCCCCTCTCAGCGAGGTGGATTATCTACATAAATGGAAAAACCCCTCCCATCACGGTAGGGAGCGTCTACACCACAGTGCTGTAGACACAGCCCTACCCAGGGGCTAGACAGCCAGCACGCCTACAGGAACTCTGCACTGGGGGTTGGCCCTTTTGAAGATGATGAAGGGGGCTGCTAAATTGTGCAGGACCTTCCATTTCGGGGGGATCAGCCCCCCAGTTTGAAGGTTTCCTGGCACCTGGGGGAGCCCGTGGTGTTTTTGGCACTTTGGAGAGGAGGGTGGAAATAGTCACTGAAGGGAAATGATTCCATAACGAAGGGCTGGAGGGCGCCTAGCAAGGGATGGTGAGAAGCTGCACTGCCCGGGGGAAGAGGGGAGCAATGGGAGGCGTTCTGCCTCATGGGGCCAGATCCTGAGCTGGTATAAATCAGGGTAGCTCCACTGGCTGCAGTGACACTACCCCAATTTACAGCAGCTCAGGATCTGGGCCAGAGTCGTGTGCAGACACTCAGGGGCTGCATCCCATTCCCGGCTGCCTTCTTTGCAGGGGGCAGCGAAGTCCTGCATGCCCGGACGGCTCCGTTGGTTCATGCACAGATGGGGCCGAGTCCTGGCATTGTCTGCAGCCGGGGAACAGGGCGGGAGTAACCCCTGCACACTCCAGGTGCCAGGGCTGTAATTCCACCTACACAAGCCAGGGAAGGGGGGGGTGATAAGGGTCCTTCCACCGCCCACCCACTCCA